GGCCACAGTAAAAAAAATACATAATATCAAAATTATATCTGCTGCATATTAAAAATATACAGAGTTGAAATTTGTGTTTGGCACTCTGCACTATATATTATATTGTTCTCTCGTCTTTGAGTCCGTGTGAAAGAAAAAGAAATTTGCAAAAGCAAATTCTTTGGTGGCCTTTGAACTGGGGAAAAGTTTTTACAGAGGTCAGGGAGTGTAAAGAAAAAAAAAAAAATAGTTTTTCTTTGTGGGAGAGGGAGGGAGGGAGAGGGAGGGAGGGGGAGAGAGAGAGAGAGGTCTTCCATCTGCTGGTTCACTCCCCAAATGGCCACAACGGGGGCTGGGCCAGGCTAAAGCCAGGAGTCAGGAGCTTCTTCCAGGTCTCCCACACAGGTCCAGGGACCCAAGGACTTGGGCCACCCTGTGCTGATTTCCCAGATGCATTGGCAGGGAGCTGTGTCAGAAGTCGAACAGCAGGGACTTGAACCATCACCTGGGCTTTAAACCACTGTGCCACAGGGCTGGCCCCCAAAGTGTCCTATTTCTATTTAAGTAGAAGTTTTATAGTAGCCGAGGTTCTAGGGAAATTTTAATATTTATTTGTTGTTAAGGCCAGCATGATACTCAGTTAGAAAAGGGTCTAATCCAAAAGTTGTACCTCTGAAATTTATATTTCTTAAATAAAAGCTTTCTATTAAAAAAAGTCTATTAAAAACTTCAAATCACTTTCTATAAAATTTAAGAGTTAAAATATATTGCTATTGCTTATAGGAATCTATAAATTCTATAAAATAGTTGTTTTTAAAACCTGTAATTTTGAGGCTGACACTGTGGTAAAGTGGGTAAAGCTGCTGCCTGTGATGCCGGCATCCCACACTGTTGTCAGTTCGAGTCCCGGCTGCTCCACTTCCAATCCAGCTCTCTGTTAATGCACCTGGGAAAGGAGCAGGAGATTGCCCAAGTGGTTGGCCCTCTGCACCCACGAAGGAAACCCAGAAGAAGCACCTGACTCTTGGCTTCGGACCAGCTCAGCTCCAGCCATTGCAACCATTGGGAAGTGAACAAGTGGATGGAAGATTTCTGTCTGTCTATCCATCTCTAACTCTTGCAAATAAATAAGTAAATCTTTAACATAAATAAAATCTATAACTTTATAGGTTTTATAGATATATAAACATATATAGGTACCACTCTTGGTAAAGCTTATTACTTATCTGGAGTTAATTCTATACAAAATTACTTATAAAATGTTATAACAATTATTACATAAAACTATTAAGATAAGCAAAGCGCTATGTTCAGTTTTGCATTCAGAGATGTGGGATACATCATTAACATTTATATTTACAATCCATTCTTGGTAGTTTTTCTTTCCTTCTATTTCATTGGTAAAACTTTTAATTTTTACCTTATCAAGTACTGAAGTCAGGTGCTCCTTGCAAGATAATGATTGGAACAGCTCTATACACAACAGAGATGACACTGCATGAGGAAGCAACCGGTGGATGATAATAGGAGATGTGGCGATACCAAAAATGAGTATTAGTGGAAATTCATGCAGATGTTGACTAGTTTTCAAAGAAAGATACAAAAGTGAAATCTCTTTAGTAAACGTATTTCAATATGCTGTACTGCAAGATAAGACAAGCTTTACTGCACACAGACACTAACAAGTATCATTCCAAATACTAAAATTTTCTAGGTCATTCATTTTCTTCTGTTAAAGTAACATAGAAGTAGTTATTTCCAAGACATTCTAGCTTTGAATTCAATCTATTAATCTATTAATGGTTCCTTTTCATTTTAAAAATAAAAACATAGAGGGCAAGAAAAATCAAATGCCCCACTACTGCTATATAATCTCAAGTGTTAGAAGAGATATTAGATACCATTTAGTCTAACCTCTCCCTCAGAGTCTGTCATACCTACAATCTTCTTTACAGTTAGGCATCTAACCTATGCTTCAATAATTCAGTGACATAGAGCTCCTTAAATACTCAGGGCAACTTATTCTATTTATAAGCATTTCTAATAGACACTTCGTGATCCAGTCACAGTAGCCAAGATTAGGAAACTTTTCTTGGGGTAGGCATTGTAGCACAGTGGATTAAGGTGCCACCTACAAAGCTGGCATCCCTATGAACACTGGGTTGAGTCCTGGATGCTTTACTTCTGATCCAGCCTTCTGTTAATGTGCCTGGGAAAGCAGTGGAGGGTGGCCCAAGTGCTTGGCTTCCTGCCACCTCCATGGAGACAGAATGGAGTTCCAGGCTGTTGGTGTTGGCTTAGCACAGTCCTGGCTGTTGTAGCCATTTAGGTACTGATCCAGCGAACTGAAGATATTCCTATGTCTCTCTCTCTGTAACTCTGCCTTTCAAATAAAAAAATAAATCTTAAAAAAAAAAACTTTTTTACACATATATAAAGTCATCTTAATGGACATCATTAAAAATGATATATCACTTCCTCATATTCTTGAACAAACTGAACACTTTAACACTACCAGAAAAACACAAATAACTTCTACGAGGTAAAACAGCACTATCTTTGAGGACTATTACAAGACAGAGAGCTCTCTATCATGACTAAATGATTTTGATTACTCTCTCCTGTTAGCCACTGCTTTTCAGTGTTTTAGCTATACACAGTACTACCTTCATAGATGTAAAGTACCTCACTCTCTGCCTGTTAAGTTTGTCTTTACTTTTAATGGATAGAGTAGTCAGAAGCCTGAGCTCTAAAAAGTGTAATTTTTTGTAGTTGACTTCCTCAGCATGGTAGGCACATCAGTGTTAGCATGAAGGAAAGTCCTGGCAGCTAGAACTCTTAAAGTCAAGACAAAAAAAATTCTATGAAAATACAAATTTCAAGTGTGTTAGTATATTATACACAGTATGGTTTTAGGCAAATGGAGTTAAGTATTAAGCCAAGTTGACATTTAGAGAAAGTCAAAATATATTAAATATAGTTTTTCACTAGAAATATATAAATCTAAGCTAGTGCTATTTGGAAAATATTCTTGCTTAGTAAAGCTATGTGCAACTCAAAGCCTCTAAGACTGCCTAGTTATCATAAAGATGTAGTAAATTGGGGCCAGCGCTGTGGCACAGCAAGTTAAGCCACTGCCTGCAGTGCCGGCATCCCATATGGGGGCGGGTTCGTGTCCTGGCTGCTTCACTTGCAATCCAGCTCTCTGCTGTGGCCTGGGAAAGCAGTGGATGATGGCCCAAGTCCTTGGGCCCCTGCACCCACAGGGGAGACCCAGAAGAAGCTCCTGGCTCCTGGCTTCGGATCAGCGCAGCTCCTGCCATTACAGCCAATTGGGGAGTGAACCAGCGGACGGAAGACCTCTCTCTCTCTCTCTCTCTGCCTCCCCTACTCTCTCTGTGTAACTCTTTCAAATAAATAAATAAATCTTAAAAAAATGATCTAATAAATTATCTCCATCTGGAGTAGTTTATCCCATTTAATGCACAACAGACTTTGGTGAAATAAACTATACTTTATACTGCCTTACCACGTTCATTAAAAATGGGCTAAGTTTGTGATTCCTGTTCTTGAGTTAAGAAGCAAATGAAAAATCTGAAATGTATTTGAACATTTAATGAAAAAATTTGGTATCATTTTGAGCTTTGTCCAGTTGGACTCAAAACGAAGATTATGCTTTTTAAGGTAAAAGGAATACTTTTTCTTAATAAAAAAGAATTTTGCACAAAACCCAGGTGACAAACCAAATACCTGCTCATTAGTATGAAGTCTTGGAGTACTTTTGTAGTGAAGCTTTCCATATCTTTTAAGATAAGCACAACAGGAGGAGAATGCCATTGGCTAGAAGTAGTCCTCTTTTTGCTTGGAATTTTTGGTTCTGTCTTCTTTTTAAGCCATTATGGAAAGAAGGAGTTAAAAAGTAAGCTTTATCACCCAAACAAAGCTACAGTGCCACATTTGACATATTTCCCTTCACACTTCACAGTAACATTGTTTCTTTTATTTCTTCTATATAATAGAAACTCCTTTCAACAGTTACAAGCAGAATCATTCTAACATGGGAATAATAAACAAGAAGAAAAAGGTGCAGTAAAATTTATAGTGTATATAAAATATTTATATTTTTTTGCTGGGAAGAATGACAAGAAAAATGGGAAGAAAATTTTCAAAATTGATTTTTCTACCAGTAGAAAGTTATATTTTGTTTTGCTTAAGAAGTCCTAGTATTCTTAATTAGAAAGCATAAAAATAGCACTACTTGCTGCTCTGCTATTATGAAATTTCAGGCTTAAAAAGGACCTTAAGGGGTGGGCATTTGGCCTAGTTAAGACATTGGTTTAGCATACACATTCCACACTGGAGGAATACCTGGGTTCAATATACAGCTCTGGCTCCTGACTCCAGTGTTCTGCCAATGCAGACCCTGGGGGCAATGGTGATGGCTCAAGTAATTGGGAGACCTGGACTGAATTCCCCCCGTCTTGGTTTGGCCCCAGCCACTGTGTGCATTTGTGAAGTAAATCAGTGGTTGGAAGCTCTATCTGCTCGTGTCTTTCTCTCTCTGTGTCTCCCACAAAATAAACAACAACAATGAGCCTTAAGTATCACCTGGCCCAAATATAATCTTCTAAAGATTGCTGATATCAACTGTAAGTAGTGTTTGATTCCCAGAAAATTTAAAATTGTAGACTGAATTAATAAGCATTAGTCCCTATATGAAGCAAAATGAAACTTCTCTCATGATGACTGTAGCAAAAACGTTAATTGGAAAAATGTCACCACCTCATTTTTTCCCTAACTTGTCTGGTTACACAGCATCATGAAATAAAGCTGAAGTTTTACATTGCAGTTATCTTGAATCACCTAGGTTATTCATTTTCTCCAGAGGCCATAATGGCAGAATGGAACTTCTTTTTATTTGTCTGTTTGTTAAATATACTTACAGAGTACCAATTCCCCAAGAACTCTAAACATGGAACAACTCAGATTTTCTTTAAAAAAATACATGATTATTCTTCATAGGACTAAGTTAACAGTACGTACTAGCAAGATGGTTCCACTACACAAAAGCAAATATTGAAGAACCAAAGAGATTAAAGTTATAGCCATTGTCACAGAGATAGAATGAACCTAAGAGGTAATATATTAAAGTTACAGCCATTGTCCCAGAGGCAGAATTTGTGGTAGACCAATTCCTAATGCTCTGTTATTCTCATGGGATGACATTTTTCGACAAATAAAATGTTCTTGTAAAAACCTAAGCACTGCCAGCGCCGCTGTAGCTCAATAGGCTAATCCTCTGCCTGCGGTGCCGGCACACCGGGTTCTAGTCCCGGTCGGGGTGCCGGATTCTGTCCCGGTTGCTCCTCTTCCAGGCCAGCTCTCTGCTGTGGCCAGGGAGTGCAGTGGAGGATGGCCCAGGTGCTTGGGCCCTGTACCCCATGGGAGACTAGGAAAAGCACCTGGCTCCTGCCTTCAGATCAGCGCGGTGCGCTGGCCATAGCGTGCTGGCAGCGGCGGCCATTGAGGGGTGAAATAATGGACAAGGAAGACCTTTCTCTCTCTCTCTCTCTCACTGTCCATTCTGCCTGTCCAAAAAAAAAAAATATATATATATATATAAAAAAAAGAACCTAAGCACTTATTGAAAATTAGGCTACACAGTAATAAAAAGAACAATCTGAAATTCTTGTCACTTAAAGAAAACAACCACTATTAAATTAACACTTAATGCTATGTAAATATATTCTTTAAAAAAATACAGTACTGTATCTAATATAATTCTATATCCCAGTCACATCCAATATCTATCTGGGAGAAAATCATCAGTTTATATTTACCTGTGTAACAGTCTTATACCAGTTTGAAAGCAAATCCATTGAACAATGTGTCTTTTTCTGGGTGACCTGAACACTTTCTTCCTCTTTGGATTTTACATCCACACAGCAATTCATCAGTTGTGAGACCAACTTTTGCAAAAAATGTTTTATATCTGCAGAATATAAAAAGTAAGAAAGCTTATTTCCTCTTAAAATTGAAGCCCATTGGGGCTGGCGTCATGGCACAGGTTAATCCTCCGCCTGCGGTGCCAGTATCCCATATGGGCGCCTGTTCTAGTCCCAGTTGCCCCTCTTCCAATCTAGCTCTCTGCTATGGCCTGGGAAAGCAGTAGAGGATGGCCCATGGGAGACACGGAAAGAAGCATGGGAGACCGGGAAGAAGCACCTGGTTCCTGGCACAGCTCGAGCCATTGCAGCCATCTGAGGGGTGAACCAATAGAAGGAAGACCTTTCTCTTTGTCTCTCCCTCTCACTGCCTGTAACTCTACCTCTCAAATAAATAAATAAAAATCTTTGAAACAAAAAAATGGAAGCCCATGAAACTTTGGCAAATGAAACTAATTGAGTAGAATGTGTTTTCCTATATTTACCATCAATGTAACTAATGTAACACTTAATATATTAACTATTAATGCTCATTAGAATCCTAAATTTCATAATTAAGACAAAAACTAAAGTTTTCATGTATATCTATAACAAAAGTGGAGCAAATGTATAAACAGGAAAACTATGAATTATATTAGGACTAGTAAGTATTCAAATTACACTAGACAACAAAGGTTTTCAAGATCCCTAAAAGAACAAAAGTACTATTTACATGAGTTAATTTACTACTTATAAATCATCCTTTATAGTAATTTTTAAAGATGTCTTTAGGACTTTTACTTAATTACAAATAGTATGAATATGAAATATAAGTATATAAAATTCATCTTATCAATGCAAATTCAAATAAATTTTAGTGTATTACATACCCTTTATGAAATGATGGTTTCAGATATCCAAGATTAGTTTGCCACTGGATTATTTTTACCATGGGGGCCTTTCATACTGAGACAATATAATGATTTATGACTATAAATATGAATCTATATAGTCTACTCTCCGTTGGGCTAAAAAAAAAAAAAAAAGAGTTCCAATTTCCCCTATTCTCAGCTTTCTGTTCTAAACCTTTCTACTTATTCAGTGGGTTAAGAAAAAATCTTGAAAAATGATTGGACAACTATGGCTATGATATGGCAGGAACAAGGCCACAAAAAGGATGTAAAAGGTGGTAGAGTACAGTTACAGTAGAGATTACTTTGGGAGCCAGTAGAGCTCACCCTGCCAAAAATGTAGGCTGCTCTTCCTCCACATAAGGGATGAAAAAAGAAGGGAGAAAGAAATGGAAGTTTGTTAACTCTCTTTGAGGTAACTGTGGCATTCATATTTTACCTGGACAATCTTTAGCTTGCAATGAGACTACATGTGGTGTGACATTATTCTGAAGGGCTTCTGTTAGACTTCTGAATATTAATTCATGATCTGTGACATTCACACCTATGGGACAAAAAATTAATTAGCAACATTTTATTAATCATCATAATTTTAGTAATAATTTAACAACAAAAGATACTTAATAAAAAAAACTACCAAGTAAAAATACTTGAAAATATGATGAGTAACAGAAATCAAGAAAATAACACTGCATAAAGAGATATCTATTGGGGGCCAGTGCTGTGCCACAGTGGGTTAAGCCACTGTCTGCAGTGCCAGCATCCCATATGGGCACCGGTTCAAGTAGCGTCTGCTCCATTTCCAATCCAGTTCCTTGCTAACAAGCCTTGGAAAGCAGTGGAGAATGGGCCAAGTATTTTGGCCCCTGCACCAACATGAGACCCAGATGAAGCTCCTGGCTCCTGTCCTTGGCTTGGCCCAACCCTGGACACTAGGCCATTCGGGGAGTGAACCAGAGGATGGAAGACCTTTCTGTCTTTCCCTTTCTCTATCTGTAACTCTACCTCTCGTATAAATAAATAAATCTTAAAAAAAAAAAAAAAAGCATGTTTGAAACTCAAGTAAATTAAACTTTGTTTCTAAAAACTAATGACAAAGGAAACGCTGTGGCATAGTGGGTAAAGCTGCTGCAGGCCTGCAGTGCTGGCATCCCATATGGGTGCTGGTTCAAGTCCCAGCTGCTCCACTTCCAATCCAGCTCTCTGCTATGGCCTGGGAAAGCAGAAGAGGATGGCCTAAGTTCTTGAGCCTCTGGCCCCACATGGAGACCTAGAAGAAGCTCCTGGCTTCAGATGGGCATAGCTCTGGCCATTGCAGCCAACTGGGGAGTGAACCAGAGAATGGAAGGCCTCTCTCTCTTTCTCTGCCTCTCCTTCTCTCTCTGTGTAACTCTGACTTTCAAATAAATAAATAAATCATAAGAAAAAAACAATCATGTGTCGCTCCCCCTCTTCGTGGAGGTACGACACTAGACCCTGCGCTGTTCTTTTGTCTGCTCGGCCCTTCCCGGGTTTGCTGCTGGTCCTTCCCGGGTTGGCTGCCATCCCTCCACCTCCGTGGAGGGGCGGGCCCCTCTGCCACTTTCCCCACTTCCGCAGGGGGGGAGCGGCACACCGCTGGCCGGCTCTCTCGGGGGTTGCTCAGATGTTATCCAGATGTTCCCCTTAGATGTTCCTGGTGCATGTTGTCTCTCTCCTCCTTTATAGTCCTCTTCCACCAATCCCAACTCTGCTACCCACACGCCGAGTACGCTGCTCTCCTCCAATCAGGAGCAGGATCAGCTCCTGCAGGTTATTGGTCGAACTGGAGGCAGCTGTGTAAAAGTTGTTTACTCCTCTCCCAGCGCCATATTGTGGGAGAGCAGATGGATAGAATAAGTCTTAATTCCAGTAACTTAGTCTAGTCCGAGTTGCTCCCAACAATCATGGAATTTTCCTAGTATTTCCAATAATTTTTTACATCATACCAGAATCCAAATGTTTGCTAAAGATAGACCTTTTTTATTTTGACAGGCAGAGTGGATAGTGAAAGAGACAGACAGAGAGAAAGGTCTTCCTTTGCCATTGGTTCACCCTCCAATGGCCGCCGTGGCTGGCGCACTGCGGCCGGCGCACCACGCTGGTCCGAAGGTAGGAGCCAGGTTCTTCTCCTGGTCTCCCATGGGGTGCAGGGCCCAAGCACTTGGGCCATCCTCCACTGCACTCCCAGGCATAGCAGAGAGCTAGCCTGGAAGAGGGGCAACCGGGACAGAATCCGGCGCCTCGACCGGGACTAGAACCCGGTGTGCCGGCGCCGCTAGGCAGAGGATTAGCCTAGTGAGCCGCGGCACCGGCCAAGATGGACTATTAATGATGGATATTAGTATCCAAGAAATTCATAACCTGCAATCAAAAAGCAACTTATGTACGATTCATCCAATCCCTCTTATAGGCAATTGGTATTAATGAAATGATCTGTAATTAAAAACACAGGAAAATAAAATTCATACTATAGAGTAATTCTATTGGAGATATTATTTTTTTTTAAAGATTGATTTATTTAATAAAGGCAGAGAGTTGCCGGCGCCACGGCTCAACAGGCTAATCCTCCACCTGCGGCGCCAGCACACCGGGTTCTAGTCCTAGTCGGGGCTCCGGATTCTGTCCCGGTCGCTTGTCTTCCTGTCCAGCTCTCTGCTGTGGCCCGGGAGTGCAGTGGAGGATGGCCCAAGTCCTTGGGCCCTGCACCCGCATGGGAGACCTGGAGGAAGCACCTGGCTCCTGCCTTTGGATCAGCGCGGTGCGCCGGCTGCAGAGGCCATTGGAGGGTGAACCAACAGCAAAAGGAAGACTTTTCTCTCTGTCTCTCTCTCTCTCACTGTCTACTCTGCCTGTCAAAAAATTAAAATTAAAAAAAAGGATTTAAAAAAATAAAAAGAAAGGCAGAGTTACAGAGAGGCAGAGGCAGAGGCAGAGGCAGAGGCAGAGAGAGAGAGAGAGAGGTCCTCCATCCACTGGATCACTTCCCAAATGGCTGCAATGGTGATAGCTGTGCCGATCAGAAGACAGGAGCTTCTGTGGGTCTCCCATACAGGTACAGGGACCCAAGGACTTGGGCCATCTTCTGCTTTCCAGGCCACAACAGAGAGATGGATTGGAAGCAGAGCAGCCTGGACTTGAACCGATGCCCCATAGGATTCTGGCACTGCATGCAGTGGCTTTACCCACTATGCCACAGAGCTGGACCCACGAGATATTATTTTTATTTATTTATTTATTTTTTTGACAGGCAGAGTTAGATAGTGAGAGAGAGAGAGAGAAAGGTCTTCCTTCCATTGGTTCACTCCCCAAATGGCTGCTGCGGCCGGCGCGCTATGCCAATCCAAAGCCAGGAGCCAGGTGCTTCTCCTGGTCTCCCATGCAGGTGCAGGGCCCAAGCACTTGGGCCATCCTCCACTGCCTTCCCGGGCCACAGCAGAGAGCTGGACTGGAAGAGGAGCAACCGGGACTAGAACCTGGAGCTCTGGCGCTGCAGGCAAAGGATTAGCCTAGTGAGCTGTGGCCCCGGCAGGAGATATTATTTTTAAGAAGTATAAAAATCAGGGGATGGTGTTGTAGCTTATCAGGTTAAGACACTGCCTCCAATGCCAGCATCCCATATGGGTGCCAGTTCAAGTCCCAGCTGCTCCACTTCTAATCCTGCTAAGGTGCCTGGGAAAGTAGCAGAGGATGGTTCAAAGTCCTTGGGACCTACACCCATGTGGGAGACCTGGATAAAGCTCCTGGATGGCCACTGTAGCCATGTGGGGAGTGAACCACTGGATCTAAGATCTTTCTCTATTTCTCCCTCTCTCTCTAATTCTGCCTTTTTTAAAGATTTATTTATTTGAAAGTCAGTTACACACAGAGAAAAGGAGAGGCAGAGAAAGAGAGAGAGAGTTCCTCCATTTGCTGGTTTACTCCCCAGTTGGCCGCAATGGCCGGAGCTGTGCCCATCTGAAGCCAGGAGCCAGGAGCTTCCTCCAGGTCTCCCACATGGGGTCAGGGGCCCAAGGAATTGAGCCATCTTCCACTGCTTTCCCAGGCCATAGCAGAGAGCTGGTTCAGAAGTGGAGCAGCCAGGTCTTGAACCAGCACCCATATGGGATGCCAGCACTGCAGGCCTGCAGCAGCTTTACCCACTATGCCACAGCATTGACCCCTGTCATTGGTTTTTAGAAACAAAGTTTAATTTATTTGAGTTCCAAACATCTAAACTGCAGGCAGCGGCTTTACCGGCTATGCCACCATGCCAGCCTCAATAAAATAAATCTTAAAAAAAGTATAAAAATCAAATCTACCAACATACCAGTGGTTTCTTTTTTACCAAATGCATATATTTTCACACTATATCTAAGATAGAAAGAGTAAAGAGTTTCCTTTCTGATCAAAAACTGAATAAAGAACTAGCTGGATCAATTTTTCTTAATTTACATATGATATGATCAATATAAGGAATGTTATTGGTTTTGAATGTATGCAAAGCAAATTATAGTTCATTTAATTCTGGAAATAAGAGACAAAGCAAGTCAATCAAGACAAATTATTTCCCACTATTCTCAACAATACAATTATCAAAAAAAGTAAAGCATGGGCCGGCGTTGTGGTACAAGTAAAGCCACCACCTGTAGTGCCGGCATCTCATACGGGCGCTGGTTCAAGTCCCACCGGCTCCACTTTCCATCCCACTCTCTGTGATGGCCTGGGAAAGCAGTGGAAGATGGCCCAAGTCCTTGGGTCACTGCACTCACATGGGAAACCTGGAAGAAACTCTTGGCTCCTGGCTTCGGAGTGGCCCAGCTCTGGCCGTTGCAGCAATCTAGGGAGTGAACCAGCAGATGGAAGACCTCTCTCTCTCTCTGTCTCTCTCTCTCTCTCTGCCTCTCTGTAACTCTGCCTTTAAAGTCAATAAATAAATCTTTTTTTTTTAAAGTAAAGTATATAGACATATTTACCCGTGAATAAACACATCTACACACATACCAAGCACAAGAGCAGCAGTTGGAATTTCTCTGAGTTTTATCTGAAAGCCCCAGTTCCTTGAATTCTTCTGGAATCCAGAATGAGATTTTTGCAGAAATTCAATTAGATTGTCAAACAGGTTTTTATTTAATTCCTCTTGTAGCCGCTATAAAGAAAACACAAAACTTGATGAATTAAAATTAGTAGTAGTAGTAAGCTGACATATCTTTCCTATAGTAGAAAAATTTTAAAACTTCTCTTTTTCTCTGTTGTTCAGTAATTTTATTCTATGAAATAAACTAGCAACATATATACACACAAATACTTATACATATATATACACACACACATACATCTGAACAGGTGGAAAAAAACATTAGTAATATTTTTAAATACAGAAACATGTGAGCCATATACAAAGTATGAAAAAGAGCTAGACAGTTTAATTTTTTTTTTTTTTGACAGGCAGAGTGGACAGTGAGAAAGAGAGAGACAGAGAGAAAAGTCGTCCTTTTGCCGTTGGTTCACCCTCCAATGGCCGCCGCGGCCGGCACGCTGCGGCCGGCGCACCGTACTGCCGATGGCAGGAGCCAGGTTCTTCTCCTGGTCTCCCATGGGGTGCAGGGCCCAAGCACTTGGGCCATCCTCCACTGCACTCCCTGGCCACAGCAGAGAGCTGGCCTGGAAGAGGGGCAACCGGGACAGAATCCGGCGCCCCGACCAGGACTAGAACCCGGTGTGCCGGCGCCGCTAGGCGGAGGATTAGCCTAGTGAGCTGCGGCGCCGGCCTAGACAGTCTAATTTTAAAGATCATTTTGAGCTACAGAAAGAAATAGGGACTTGAGGCTAAGGGGCAGGGGAGGGAGTAGCCAGGCAAATTATGAAAGGTAAGGGGAGAAAAATCACCAAACATACAGGTTGTCTTATTATGCAGATAGTGTCCTGGTTATCAGAAGGCTTCCAACTATAATAATTTCTGTCTCAACCAGAGTATGACCCCCAGTGCCTTCTTTCTGTGAATGATTTGTGATAGACACCGGGAGATATCAGACAGAAAAGTCTCTGCTGGTATCCACAGTTAAATCATGTGGAAATATGCAAATGTCTTTTTACAAGAGCACAGCTTTTCAGAGCCACTATTGTGTCTGCAGTGCCTCTGAAGAGCCATCTGGAAATATGCTAAAGGACTATATTTTCAGGCTGCCTATTTTGATTTCTCTCCTAGTTTTGGAAATAAGTGTCATGGATCCAATTCCAAAGATTACATATTAAATAATTAAAAAATAGATGAAATAAAAGACTTTTCCTTACACCTCAGTAACTAGTGCTTTGGAGTCTCCATTTTAAAATCCCTCTCATTTATTCATTTAAAATTTACTAGCCATTTATGAATGATAGTTTCTACTCCTCAAAGGGAAGAAATTAGGTACGAATGGATAATTAAAATAGCTGATAATACAGAAGCCAAGAGTAGGACCACCTAACTTGTAGGTGATGGAGGAGGTGACATGAGGTAAGGGGAAATTAGAAGGAATGAGTAAGGAAGGCAAGACAGGGAGAAAGCATCAAATATCTGGTGAACCACACATACAGCTAAGCATAAAAAACATGAGAAGTGGTAGGAAATAAGGCTGGACAAATAAGCAAATGACTAAACTAAGAGTTAAAGAGATTGGATTTTATGCTATAATGAGAGCTACTGAAGGGATGTGAAGGTGAGACATGGTCAAATCAAGGTTAAGAAGGGTTAATCTGGTAGTTCTGTGAAAACAGGATCAGAGGGGTCAGCGCTTTGACGTTATGGGTAAAGACCTGTCTATAATGCCAGCATCCTACAAGGGTGCCAGTTCACATCCTGGATGCTCTACTTCCAATCCAGCTTGGATCCCTGTCACCAATGTGGGAGACCTGGATGAAGCTCTTTGGCTCCTGCTTCAGCCTGAGCTAACCCTGGCTGTTGCGGCCACTTGGGGACTGAACCAGCAGACAGAAGATTCCTCTCACTGTAACTGTGCCTTTCAAATAAATAAATAAATCTTAAAAAAAGAAGAAAAAAAAAAAAAAAAGAAAAGAAAGCCAGATCAGAGACAGTAAGGGAGGCTGTCCAGGCAGAGGAGCTGAATGGAAAACCCCTGGAACCTGGCACAGGGCTGCATTTGCCCGAAGGAGGACTTTTCTAATTTGGGTAATGGTACCTTAAGGGCTAATGGCAGATCTGAAGGATTTGGCATCAGGAACACCAGCTGTGGGATATATGACAACCCAGGTTAGGAATCGAAGAGGGCTTAAACTGGAAACCACCATCACATGGTACACATGACTGAGCTGAGAACAAAATGCCCTTAACAAGTCTGCAAAGCATCCAAGAGAAAGATCTACTGAGAACTGTCTAAGAAGTGTTTGCATAAAGCTATTTACCTTGTCCACCAGGTCAATCTGACTTAGGTGACGTGCATATAGGATGAGTTTTGCCTTAGCCATCTGGAGGAACCTTGTGCAACCCTTTGTTCTTTATCCATATTTTCCTTTATCTATTCCCAGGAATGTCCTTCTTAAAAGTAATCAGTAGTCTTCTTTTCAGCGTACTCTGCCTCTGAAAATGTTTTTAACCAAACCTATCCTAAAGACAGTAAACTCCAACCTGTCAGAAATTCACATTTTTATAGGCCAGACCAATGTATTTTCACTGTGTAATGATAAATGAAAAATTACTGTCATGTAATAAATAAATTCTGACTAGAATCTGACCACTTTCCAAAACTCATTAGAAATCACTGGACTTGTGTTTCTGGGGCCTATGTCACTCATATTCTGCCCTGAATAAACTTTTTTTATCCTTTTCATAGAAGCTATTTATTTCTGGCAACAGAACAAAGCCACTAGGTATAAAGTGATAAAGATTGCAAGAAGCAGCAATATACTGGAGAGCACCTTGTCTCCCTAAAACTTCAAAACCAAAATCTATAACACGGCACTGGTCCAACAAAACAAGTCATATGTTCAAGATGCTGGCACCAGAGGAACCATTTTGCTGTACTGGAGAAACTGTTCAGAGCTGGAATATAGAGAACATGGTATCTGGTTATAAGGAAGGAGTATAGGATTTGGGTCAATGGTGCCATAAGGGCTTGATTTAAACTTATAAACTGAATGGATAATTTAAGAATGCAGTATTTGAAGCTCCTTGCCTTAGCAGCTATCTTTTTTTTTTTTTTTTAAGACTTATTTATTTGAAAGACAGAGTTAGAGAGAGAGGTAGAGCCAGAGAAAGAGGTCTTTCATTCCGCTTGTTCACTCCCCAAATGACCACAATGACCAGAGCTGAGCTGATCCAAAGAAAGCAGCCAGGGGCTTCTTCTGGGTCTCCCACATGGTACAGGTCTCCCACATGGTACAGGGGCCCAGGGAGTTGAGCCATCTTCTACTGCTTTCCCAGGCCATAACAGAGAGATGGATCGGAAGAAGTGCAGACAGGACATGAACCAGCGCCCCTATGGAATGCCGGGACTGCAGGCTGGGGCCTTAACCCACTGCACCACAGCACTGACCCCAGCAGCTATCTTAAACATATGTTCCAGTATCTGATGCTATTCTTAACCTTTAGAATAAAAGGATTTTTAGAATAGACAGACCATACTTGGTCAAATTTCCTATATTTCATCAATGTTCTCACAAACTGGTGAAAAGATGAGAAGCAACAAATATGAGATTTACAGTATTAGAGAAATGTTAACAAAAAAATATTCACCTCAGTCTCAGACTTCATCTGTTGCCACATCAGCTGGTAAGTTTCAAATCGAAGCTTACTGTCCTCAGACTCATTGTTCCTTGCACTAAAATAGTCCTCTAAAACACAGAAAGAAGTTAGTTTTTTCATATAGTTAAAATTAGAAACCATGTGCAAAGTCACAAAGTAAGTGATAGGGGTTGAATTTTTTATATGCACCAAACATACATATATAATTTGTTTATCTGAGAATATTCAATATTTTTCATTTAATTTTAAGTATCATATATTTTACCATATTAATTGTATCTTTACAATTAAAATGCCTTTATTTAAAGATTTTATTTATTTATTTGAGAGGTAGAGTTACAGACAGTGAGAGGGAGAGACAGAGAGAAAGGTCCTTCGTCCGTTGGTTCACTCTGCCAATGGCCACAACGGCCAGAGCTGTGCCGATCCGAAGCCAGGAGTCAGGAGCTTCTTACCGGTCTCCCACAAGGGTGAAGGGGCCAAAGAACTTGGGCCATCTTCTGCTGCTTTTCCAGGCCACAGCAGAGAGCTGGATTGGAGGAGGGGGAGCTGGGACTAGAACCAGAGCCTATATGGGATGGTGGCGCCAGCCCCCAAAATTCCTTTAATTTTTAAGACTGCATTTCTGTCAATTACTTTTGACTTTATAACAGTTTAATAGTTTTTGGTTTGAGATCTATACATTTAATATTAATGTGTTTTCATTATTTGCTCCTATTCTAAAACCTTGTGTACTTTGCTTCCTACATCTTCTGACCTCTCCTGTGTTAATGATTCATACTATTAATATTCTTATTTTTTTGTTCCAGTGACATAGCTTAGTCCAAGTTTGTATCCTATTTGAATGTATTCTCTAAATGCTAGCCATTTATCAAAATACCAATTAATGCAGTGATTTTCTTTTTCTTCTTCTTCTTTTTTTTTTTTTTTTTTTTGACAGGCAGAGTTAGACAGTGAGAGAGACAGAGAGAAAGGTCTTCCTTCCGTTGGTTCACCCCCCAGATGGTTGCTACAGTGGGCGCACCACGCCGATCCGAAGCCAGGAGCCAGGTGCTTCCTCCTGGTCTCCCATGCGGGTGCAGGGCCCAAGCACTTGGGCCATCCTCCACTAATACAGTGATTTTCAAGCTTTTTAAACCATGATCTATATAAAGGAATACATCCTACATCATAATCTACCATATATACACATAACAAACAAAAACAAAATGCCCACAAAATGTTTACCCTCATCATATAATTGCAAGTGTTTTTATTTTTACTTTTATCATTGTACACTAACATGATTTCAGAACTCACACATGAGTCTTAACTTTCAGTTTGAAAAACACCTATTTATTGAATAACTATCCTTTCTCCCATTGATTAGAGATGTGTTTTAATCTAAATATTTATATATACTTTGAATTATTTTTGAACTTCCTATTTTCTTGTACTGAACCCAACTCTATTCCCATATCACTTCTGAACTGTTTTAACTATTGTAGCTTGGTATATGGTACATTTTAATATCAAATATATCCAGCTCTTCTTCCTACTGTCACCAAACTTTGATACTCTTGTGAAAAAATTTAGGCCACTCGTTCAAATTAATTTTTTCAGTTAATTTTTTCAAATTAATTTTATATCAATTCTGTCACTTTTTCAAAAATAATTACACTGATATTTTGATGAGGTAAAATCAAATTTGTAGATTGAGTTAAGAGATAAAATATTTTTTAATGATTAAGAGAAGAGAGGCAGAGAGAGAACTTCCATCCACTGGTACTCTCCCCAACTAGCCTCAACAGCCAGGACTGGACCACTCTGAAACCAGGAGCCTGGAAGTCCATCTGGGCCTCCCACATGGGTGGAAGAAGACCCAAGCACTTGGGCAGTCTTCTGTCTCTTCCCAGGCCCATTAGTCAGGAGCTGGATCACAAGCAGAGCAACAAGGACTCAAACTGGCACTCAGATAGGGAATGCTGGCATCACAGGCAGCAGTGGCTGAACCTTCTGCATCACAATGCCAGCTTCTATAGTCTTTTTTAAGTGCCAGATATTTTATTATAACAGCTAGAGCTTTCACAGTACTATATTTCAGTTCCGAGTATTCTACCACCAAGGTTTAATATTAACTGATGGTTTGGAACAGAAATTCTCTCTTATGTTAAGGAACTTTGCTTTTAATCATGGTTGACTACAAGGGTTTAACAATCATTGATTTTTAACTTTAGAAAAATTTTTAGGGGGCCAGCGCTGTGGTGTAGTGCATAAAGACACCACCTGCAGTGTCGGCATCCCATAAGGGTACTGGTTTGTGTCCTGGCTGTTCCACTTCCCATCCAGCTCTGTTATAGCCTGGGAAAAGCAGCAGAAGATAGCCCAAGTCTTTGGGCCTGTGCACCCACGTGGGAGACCTGGACAAAATTCCTGGCTCCTGGCTTTTCAAATAAAATAAAATAAATCTTAAAAAAAAATTTTTTTTTTAGATTATACTGAAGTCATCACGTGGTAAAACAAGTTATAATGTTATAATGGACACAAAAAAGCAAGGAAATATTGTATGACTAAGAGACAAAAGAGAATAATTAGCTTAAAAGCAAACAAAAAGTCATTTTATACTGAAAATCGGTAAAATACTGAAGTGGCAGGAAAGGATATAAATTTGTTATGTTTGGGCAATGCTTCATCAAAATACATCACACAAAATCCATATAGAAATTGGCAAACAGCAGCAGCAGGATCCTTTAATCTCCTTCCCATGACCTCTCTGCTTTACAGATGAAGCTGGTAAAACTACATCAGCACTGAGAGGAGCTGCACAATGTGAGCCCTCACCACTGTCAGGCTTCACCTGCCTTGTCTCCCATCACAGTGCTTTAATCAGTGTGGTCGCCCGCACAGTGCTGGTGCTGCGGAGTCTCTCCCCAATTCCTGCTCACTTTTTTTTTTGGATGAGCAGTCATCACAGAACACCAAGGAAAGGAAGAGTTACCAGTCCTATCCTAGTCATATGCCCTAAGTCTCTTTAAGTGATGAAACAGATGGTGGGCAAAATACAGAGCATCTTCCTACTTCTTCAGGCAATCTGTTTGAAGAATTGATGCCAGGAAGATAAGTGCTAAAATGTGGGTATGTTTTATTCATTCCTATTCCAGCTGAGTTGTAATCAGGGTCAATTCTGCTAATATTTTCATTAATTAGGACAATATCTACTGGGCTTAGATGAGAAAATGAAAAACAAAATTTAATGAACCTCTAAAATTCAAATTATACACATTAGGTGTACTAACACTAAAACGTGTAAACAAATCAATAAATTATAGCTGAAAATCAATACAAAAAGTTCTCAGTGGGGCTGGTGACCTGACATAGCAGATTAAGCTACCACCTGCAGTGCTGGCATCCCATATGAGCCCTAGCTCAAGTCTTGGCTGCTCTACTTCCAATTATCTGTTATCCATGTGGGAAACCTGGCTGGAGTTCCTGGCTCCTGGTTTTGGCCTGACCCAGCCATTCTGGTCACTTGGGTAGTGAACCAGCAGATAGAAGATGTCTCTGTCTCTCCTTTTCTCTCTGCAACTTTATCCTTCAAATAAATAAATTGTAAACAATGTTCTCAGCAAAAATCTGCGTCCTATTAAGAAAGGCAGTATTAACAAAAGGTTGGTTAGACTATGGGCTCTGGAATCAGACAAATCAAATCCTGGCTCTATAATTCATCAACATTATAACACTGAGAAAGCGCTTTCTGTTCTTTCCCATACATTTAAATGGAGATAATAATCCATGCCTCATAGTTTGTAGGGATTAAACAAATTAACAAATTAATGCTTACAACAGTCTTACAGGTAGTAAATATGCAAAAAAAGTTGGTATTTTTATTAATTATTGTGGGGAGCAACTCGGACTAGACTGTTACTGGAATTAAGACTTATTCTATGCATCTGCTTTCCCACAATATGGCGCTGAGAAGGGAGTAACAACTTCTACGCAGCTGCCTCTCGCCAACTTGAGTGATGACCTGCAGGAGCTGATCCTACTCCTGATTGCAGGAGAGCAGCGTACTCGGCGTGTGGGTAGCAGAGTTGGGATTGGTGGAAGAGGACTATAAAGGAGGAGAGAGACAAGATGCACCGGGAACACCTGAGGAACATCTGAGCAGCCCCCGAGAGAGCCGGCCGGCGGTGTGCCGCTCCCCCCCTGCGGAAGTGGGGAAAGTGGCAGGGGGAACCGCCCTTCCACGGAGGTGGAAGGGTCAGTAGCCAACCCGGGAAGAACCAGCAGCAAACCCGGGGAGGGCCGAGCAGACAAAAGAACAGCGCAGGGTCCTGTGTCGTTCCTCCGCGAAGAGGGGGAGCGACAGTTATAATTGCATTGCCAATGATATATCTTGCATGCTATGTCTCCTCATGGATAATAGGGGAACAAGTCTTAATTTTTCTCTGAAGTATTTCCCAATAAGTTTTAGCAATCTTCAATGCTAAAGAAAGTTGTTCATAAATCAATCACATAAAAATAATTTAAGTGGGATGGGATCTGGGACCCAGTATTTTTAAAAGTTCTCCAAGTTGAAATCTGAGTAAGACTAGTAAATTGTATCAATGATAGAACTATATGCAGTATCACAACCAAGACACTATCTAAGTTCCTGATGAACACAGATGCAAAAATCCTCAACAATTCTAGCCAGTTGAATCCAACAACACATCAGAGAGGTCATTCTCATGGACCAGATGGGATTTATCCCTGGTATGTAGGGATGGTCCAACATTTGAAATCAATCAATGTGATACATCACATTAACAAACTGAAGAACAAAAAAATCATGTGATTATCGCAATAGATGCAAAAAAGCTTTTGATAAAATACAGCACCCTTTCATGATGAAAACTCTAAGCAAATTGGGTATAGAAGGAACATTCCTCACCACAATCAAGGCAATCTATGACAAACCCACAGCCAGCGTCCTATTGAATGGGGAAAAGTGGAAGCATTCCCACTGGGATCCAGAACCAGATAGGATGCCCACTCTCATTACTGCTATTCAATACAGTCCTGAAAGTTTTAGCCAGAGCCATTAGACAAGAAAAATAAATCAAAGGGATACAAATTGGGAAGGAGGAAGTCATGACTATCCATATTTGCAAATGACATGATTCTTTATATAGGGGATCCAACAGACTCCACTAAAGTAAAGTAGCAGGATATACAATCAATACACAAAAATCAATAACCTTTGTATACACAGACAATGCCACAGCTGAGAAAGAACTTCTAAGATCAATTCAATTCACAATAGCTACAAAAAAAAAAAAACCAAATACCTTGGAATCAATTGAACCAAGATGTCAAAGATCTCTATGAAGAGAATTACAAAACATTAAAGAAAGAAATAGAAGAAGATACAAAAAAATGCAAAAAATCTGCCATGTTCATGGATGGGAAGAATCAATATCATCAAAATGTCCATACTTCCAAAAGCAATTTACAGATTCAATGCAATACCAATCATAAATACAAAGGACATCCCTCTCAGATACAGAAAAAATAATGCTGAAATTCATATGAAGACACAGGAGACCCTGAACAGCTAAAGCAATCTTATACAACAGAAACAAAGCTAGAGGCATCACAATACCAGATTTCAAGACATACTGCAGGGCAATTATCATCAAAACAGCCTGGTATTGGTCAAAAACAGATGGATACACCAATGGAACAGAATCGAAATGCCAGGAATCAATTCATGCATCTACAACCAAGTTATCTTTGACAAGGTAGCTAAAATCAATCCCTGGAGAAAGGGTAGTCTCTTCAATAAATGGTGCTGGTAAAACTGGATCTACACATGCAGAAGTATGAAGCAGGACCCCTTACACAAAAATCCACTCAAAATGGATTAAAGACCTAAATCTATGAACTGACACCATCAAATTATTAGAGAACATTGGAGAAACCCTGCAAGACCTTGACAGACAGAGTTCTTGGAAAAGATCCTAGAGGCACAAGCAATTAAAGCCAAAACTCACAAATTGGATTACATCAAATTGAGAAGCTTCTGTACTGCGAAAGAAACACTCAGGGAAGTGAAGAGGCAACCGACAGAATGGGAGAAATTATTTGCAAACTTTACAACTGATAAAAGATTAATAACCAGAATATATAAAGACATCAGAAAACTCTACAACAACAAAACAATCTAGTTAAGAAATGGGCAAATGCAGTGACACATCCTATATAGGAACCAGTTCATGTTCCAGGTACTCTACTTCTGATCCAGCTCTCTGCTATGGCCTGGGAAAGCAGTAGAAGATTGCTCCCTGTACCTGCGTGGGAGACCTGGAAGAAGCTCCTGGCTTCGGATTGGTGCAACTCCGGCTGTTGTGACCTTCTGGGAAGTGAACCAGTAGATGGAAGACCTCTTTCTCTCTCTTTGCCTCTCTGTAACTCTGCCTTCCAAATAAATAAATAAATCTTAAAAAGGGGGGGGGGGGCAAATGACTTAAATAGGCAAAAAGGCAATCTCTAAATAGTGACATATATTTAGGATATGAACTTTCCAGCTTTTGAAGGAGACATGGGAGATAAAAACCCAACAAATCTGTTATTAAAACACTTACCTATTGGCACAGAAATCTTTCTCTTCTTTAAGTTTGGCTTAAACACAAAGCAACCCTATAAAAAAAGAAAGAAAAAAAAGCATAAGGTCAAAGTAGCTGAAAAGCAGAGAAATCTGATTAACCAAGTACTTTATGTATACATGACTTTTTAAAGGGGATGAAGGAAATATTTCTTTCATGTCATAAGTAATCCTATCACTTTTCTCTGAATTCTAGAAAGAAATCTCTTTTATATAAATAAATTTTATTTATTTGAAAGACAGAGACAAACAAAGAGAGATCTCCCATCTGCTGGTTCACTCTCCAAACACCTGCAACAACTAAGACTGAAGCCAGGAGCCCAAAACTCAAGCTCAAGTGGTGTCTTTACCACTGTACCAAATGCCCAACTCAGAAAGAAAATTCTTAAACAAGGGGACAATCCATTTCTTTCCTTTCTCTCCCATGGAAGGCCCATCTTTGATTTGCTCTTTTTTTTTTTAACTTTTATTTAATGAATATAAATTTCCAAAGTACAGCTTATGGATTACAGTGGCTTCCCCCTGCCCATAACTTCCCTCCCACCTGCAACCCTCCCCTTTCCCGCTCCCTCTCCCCTTCCATTCACATCAAGATTCATTTTCAATGATTTGCTCTTTGAGAACTAAGAGTAGATAGAGAAAAACAAATGAAATTTAAACCCAGAAAGGCCCCAATTTTATTAACTTAGAAGAGAAAGAAACTAACACTACACACAAAATGAAAAGGACAGGTGTTTGGCAGAGCACTTAAGACGCTACTTGGGACACCCACAGTCCATATCAGAGTGCCTGAATTTGAGTTCTGGCTTTGCTTCTGGTTCTAGTTTTCTGATAATGCACATCCTGAGAGACAGAAGATGAAGGTTTAAGTAGTTGGGTTCTGGCCACCCATATGGGAGATCTGCACTGAGTTCCCAGGTCAGTGCTTCTGCTTGGCCCAGCCCCACCTGTTGTGGTCACCTGGGGAATGAACCAGGGGATGGGAGATTTCTATTTCTCTGTCTTTCAAATATTTAACTGAACTCTACATATTTGGGACCTTGACAGGAAATACGTAAGTTTGGCTGTTTCTCCCTACATATCTTTCTTTATCAGATAAACTCTCATTCCTTTATCCAAGAGTTTGGCTCAAAACTTAACTCCTCTCATAAACTTTTACTAATTCTCTAGTCAGAAATGCTCCTCCCCTGGGATCTCAGAGTACCTGAACATATTTATTTTGCTTTGTTTTAAATTACTTTTATTGTGTATCATAGTTATTTATGGGTCTGCCTCTCCAAGTAGACTGTGAGTACCTTCAAAGTAAAGACAAGATTTTATTTAAATTTTTTTCTCTAATTTTTAGGATAGTGAATATCATAAGAAAAGAGAGGTAAAAATGTTTGGCTAGGGCAAGAACAAGAAGTGAAAAGTTCCCTAAATTCCTGAAATAGTCTTGAATTGCTGCATTATATAAGGTTTCCTTCATAATTATCCAACCATGCTTTCCAGGAAAAAAAAAAAAAGACACTTCACATTCTGCAAGATATTAAAAAATACGGTTGCTATGCAACAAACAGGATTAGGTGACAGACCACTCAAAACCAAGATGACCAAAGATAGAACAGAAACAGTACCACTCCTAATAAAAACACCAGTATAGTTAAATCTATTCTAGCATTTGCACCTAGCCTAAATACTCAATCCTCTAAAACCTTAAATCCTACGGCCTACACTTCCTCCATAAGATGTAGTCTTGGAAAGCACTACTTTCCACATTATCATTTTGAAAGAAATGTCTTCCAGGTTCTTCACTTGTATTTTCAGCTTTAGGGGCTTCCTGTTGCACTTACAATAGAACTGAAGACCGTCCTTTTGGCACTGTCCAATAGGGCTTTCTGTAACAAAGGATCTATCACACTTACAAGGTATATTCCTTTTGTCCTCTGGGCCCCAAAATATGCTATTCTCTTTTTCTTTAGCCTTGCTTCCTATCCTTTGCCTAACTTCTAATCATTTTTCAGGTCTCAAAATGTCACTTTCTCCCAAAAGTCATCAATGACCTAGCAATCTATATTATTAAGTTCTTTCAGCTCTTCTCTCATTCAGAACTGTTTACCTTGCTAACACAACTCAATTGTGACCTTCAGTTTATCTATGCTTAATATCTTTGAGTGCAGAAACGTTGTGTATTTTGCTTACCACCTTAGCTCAGCATCTAACGGAGTGCCTGATGCACAGTGAATATAAAAAGAACAAAAGTAAGCGACACTAGGCCAATGCTCACAGCATGTGACCTGCACAAAGAACTTAAAAATCCTCCTAAGCCGCACCACAAGGCAGATCCTGCTCCTCGCCCCACAACCAAAGCTGGCCTCAATTTAATATGCTGCAAAGACGACTCCACCACTTCCACCCCTTGAGCCGGCCAGGGGGTCGGGCCCTACGTGACCTCCACTTCTTGCCTTCTTCAAGAAGAAATGAGGCGGCGGCGGAGCCCCAGTGAGCTCCCGCCCGCCACGTACCTTGGACACCGAGGAGGTGGCCATAGTCACAACGGCCCAGCGGAATCGTGATGCACTCGGGATTTCCCGCGCGCCCTCGCGGCAGCGAGGGCAGAGGTCAGTGGCTGGCCACGAGCCTTCCTGATTGGTCGGCAGCGCCCCCCGGGGCGTGCTTCCGGCGCGCGGAGGAGGGGCCTGTACGGGAGGGCGTGAAGAGGGCCGGGAGCTGAGGTTGTGGAGGCGCTTACCAGGACGGACATGGCGTGTGGCTTCCGTAGGTCCATCGCAGGTCAGGTACGGATCCCGGAGCCGGCAGAAGCAGAGCCACCGCGGAGCCATGGGCCCCATAACACGTCCATCTCTGCGAGCCAGTACTCAGTCGGCAGGGAGGGCGGGTTCCGAGGAATCCTGTTTATTTCTGCTAGCTCCTCCCTCTTTGAAGCTACATACAGAGGCAGATAGCGAGTGTGGAGGGTCGGGATACGGCCGAGATCAATTTCTCTGAGTGAAGAGTGAACCTTGAAAAGCACTTGTTGCTTCCCTCACTCCTTCCCACCCCACAACTTTGTCTGCTTTATTTGGGTGGAAAATCCTTAGACCGTGATTAGACCCTGTAGAAATAAGGGTTCCTCAAACCGAGTGAAGTTGGTGATGGATCTGGATCAAATTAGAGCCATCAAAAGGCTGGTTGTTTCTTTTGCAGTCACGTTGGCAGCCTGTTCCAGAATGATATTTGAGATACTGTTTTTCTTGACTCAGAATCATATTTGAACAAAGCTGTAATAATGGAATACAAAAACTGGAATTCACCAAAAAAATTTAAAACTCACAGGCCCCCCTGTAGAATTTTGCAGGGAAACTGCTTGTTGTGCTCATGACAAGCCCATTTCCTTTTTATTAATAGACATTTTTTGCCTGGTGTATAGTTTACCTGAGCTCATTTTTACAGTGTTTCTAGACATTTTTGAGGACAACCATCTGCCTTTCATTATGCCCACAGAGGTACTACCCTGTCCAATATGAACTCCTCCAATATGTGAATAAAACAAAGCTCAGTTTATTGCTTATTGGTGTAAGGGAGAACAACACCTCAGAGCTTTGGTAGTCTCTTAAAAGGCAGAGTCAGATTTTATTGAAAAATTGAAGTAAGGTTGAAAGCTGGTCTTTCAGGTGGCAGAGTTTGAAGGGGTTAGTAGGATTTGGCTTGAGTAGGACTGGATATCAATCTTGATAAAACAGTTTAAGATTGGAGGAAAGGGCAAGGCAAAGAGACTTGAGGCATAAACTGTTGATGCTTTCTGTTGAAGAATTGATAGATTTTAATCCTTATTTGCCTGGGGAAGACTCTTCTAGAATAGTGAAGGTATGCTAATGACGATAAAGAAATGTTAATACAGATCTTAGAGTCCAAACCATGTGGGAATAGATGGTTTCTATTCTCAACTCTTAATAAGAAGATAATGCTGTGACTGGAAATTTACTGTGTATAGTTTTGCAAAAGCTATATATTCTTCCTTGTAAAGAAAAGGTGAGTTGAATAACTAGAAACTAATATTGAGTATATGTTTGTGTAACTCTGCCTATCAAATAAAAAATAACTCTAAAAAAAACTCAAAACTGGGATATGGACTGTAGATTACTGTACATCAGTGCCTCAAGTAAATAGTTACCAGTAGACCCTTTTACCAGTACTGGTCCTAGCCCAATGCCAGGGGAAACAGCATTACATGAAGGGGAAAAAGAAACCTGTAGTTCAGGAAACCCATAGGCACAGTCAGATCGGAGAAAGCCCTAAATCCAATCATGGAGACTGGTGAAGACAATTTTACTGTTTCAGAATAGTTCTTTACTGATCTGAATGTAAGTGAATTAAAAACTATGCTATCTAGCATTTGGCAACTGATCCATGGTTCTTTTTCTTTATTTATTGTTCCACCATTTGAAGGAAAAATGTCTAATTAAAAGCATTCACTAGTCTGGGCACAGTTGTTGAAGTGAGAAGCAATTGGTATCTTCCTAAAGCATTGCTTCTGGAGCCTTGTCCTGCAGAGTAGAATCACTTGAACATCATTTGAAAGTACCTAAACCCGGGTCCATTGGCCTGGGGTCAGGTGAGAGCTTTGAAGAAAAAAAATCATCAGATGATTCTGATGTTCATCCAGGCTTGATAACCCCTGCCTCTGAAGACCCAGAGATAGAAGAGTGTGGTGCAGTGGTCTCCACACTTCACTTCACATTAGAATCATCTAGGAAAGCTTTTAATGGCCTGCTACCCAGGGCACACTAATTAAACACCAAAGCAAAGCATCAGTGTTTTCTAAAGATACCCAAGTCATTCCAAAATGCAGCAGAGAGAGAGAACTGCTGATGCAGTAATTAAGAATATTGATCATGGAAGACTTGAGTTTAAAACCAGCTTCCCCTCTGATAAATTTCTAAGTTCTCTGTACCTCACCTAGAAAATTAGGTACCTTATGAGGTTATTATCAGGATGCAGTGAATTGATATATATATATAGTGTGCTTAGAATTATGTTTGGTATGTTGTGTGCATTCCATAAAAGCCGATATTAGAATATCTGAGGGTGGGATATTTGTAATCTCCCTTCCCTACCACCTCCACTTTATGGTGTGGAGGACTTACCTGTCATCCATTACCTTTGGTGAATGTTTAGTCCTACACGGAGTTGATAAACAGAGAGCTACATATCTGAGGCATACTGTTTAATTTCCAACAGGAATTTCTTAAAAGTTGTGGTTTGATAAAGAAACCGCCCACTCTCTCCACTTTTTTTTTTTTAAAATAAGTCCTACTCATTGTAAAAATCAAACAACACCAATAGATGCAAAGAATTTTAATAAACTCCTCTGTAAATAATCATCAGTAATGTTGATTTTATATATTTCTGTGAGAGATGCAGGCAAAATGAAAGAAAATGAGAATAAAGACTGGATAGATATACTTTTTTATAAAAACTGAATTGTGTTGCATATTTTTAAAGTTTTACAGTTCATAATGTCCAGCATACTAAACCTAACTGGTAGTATGATTCCTCATGTACCAAAATTACTGCTTTAAGTAAAGTATTACATATAGTTTTGTTTGAATTCAACAAAAAAATCCCAAAGGTGCTATTCAAAGAATTATTGATATATTTCCTGAGTGAGAGTTCTACAAATAAGAAAAGGATTGTAAAAAGAAAAAATTAAAATTTAGGGTGTTTTTAAAAACATCTTGATATTTTAAGTTTAGATAGTATCAACCCCTCATGAGAGATGAAGACATTCTCTCTTTTCTCTACCTTTACTAATTTGGGTTGGTCAACTAAAGTTTATGAAATGTATGTGTTTATTAACCATACCTACACAACTTGTCTCCTGTTCATTTTATGTTGAATTTTTTCCTGATACATGGCTTACTTGGCTGGCTTTTTTTATAAGTAAGCTTTTCAAGAAGGGTTTTTAGTGCTTTTTTTTTTCTTTTAACCTTTTTTTTTTTTTCATAAAATTGTTGCATCTCAAATACACAAATCCTAAAAAGTGTGAAAAGGAGGCTTAATCATTGGAAAATTAGCATGCTTAGAAATAATGTAAAAATAGACTAAGAAATAGTGTAAAAATCTTCCTTTAGAAATAAAGAAATAACAACAGCTTTTTTTTTTAATTAATTTATTTATTTTGAAGGCCAGAGTTACAGAGAGAAGGAGAAAGGGAAAGATCAAAAGAGATTTGCTCGTTCACTCTTCAGATGACCACAATGGCCAGCGCTAGGTCAGGCTGGAGACCAGAAACCAGGAGCTTCATCCAGGTCTCCTACATGGGTGGCAGAGGCCCAAACACTGGGACCATCTTTTGCCGCTTATCCCAGGCCATTCGCTGGGAGCTGGATTGGAAGTGGAGCAGTCAGGACACGAACCAGTGCCCATAAGGGATGCTGGTGTTAGAGCAGTGGCTTTACCTGCTACACCACAACGCTGGCCCCAGATTGTTTGGTTTTGAATTGGAATGTTCTCTCTCTATGTCATTGATGCAAAGGCACACAATGATCCCAATTTGTTGTGAAAGTTTTCCATTTTCGTATGTTGGCACATAATTCAAATAAAACAAAGCTGAGCTGGAGAAACATGCATACCAGTTTGCAACTTCTCCATTGCATAAATCTAGTTCTATATAATACCATTACTAAATTATTTGCTGTACTCAGATCATGTTATTTTGATTATGTAACATGGCTGATTACAAAGCAAAGTACAATTGTTTTGTTTCCCATGGAGTTTTCTTGATTGGTGCTTTATTTTTTGAAATGTAACTTAACCAGGATGTATTTCAGTGTTGAATTTTTTGTGTTATATATTTTCCTGACTTGACAATTTATTTTGATTGATACATTGCATTTGTTTTTAATGAAATAATCATAGAGAAGAATGTAGTTAGTAGCTACATACCTGTTACCCAGATTGAAATATAACATATTACAAACACTGTTACATTCCCCTGAGTTCTCATCCCTAGTTGCAAACTGTTTCCTCACATAACAGGTAATGTATCTAAAATCTGGGTTCATTATATCTGTGCGTGTCATTCATTACCTATAAATAGATCCCTAATTAGTATTACTTTCCAAATTGTTAAATTTTTTATCTCAGTGGTATCAAACTATATCTTTCTGCAACTTAGGCTTTTTGCCTTGTTTTACACAGTTTAAAAAAAAAAAAAACTCCATAATGATGCATGGAGGTCTGATTTTTACCTCTGAGCGGTGTGATATTGCACTAAAAAGTACCGCAATTTAGATTTGGTTTTTTATTTCTGTGATGTTTTCCCATTTTTTGAGCTTTCTGTCACTTCTACCTTGGGGAATCATTTCCCAAATAAACCACCTCCATGCCAGTCCTTTTCTTAGACCCTGCTTTTGGGGAAGCCAAAATAAGTCTATGAATACATTTTATTTTTTCTTGAGTGCTATTGATTCATCTCTAGGGCTTCTGATAAGTGAGACCAAGTTAAGGCCCCTGCCAAGTCAGCCTATTCCATTCTGCTTTGGAATCTTTTTTGCTGCTTTTCTTGGCTTTCAAATTTAAAGTTTGTAGCTTTGGGCTTTGTGTCTCTATCCTTATGTATTTGCTGCTGAAAAATCAATCCACCTACCATCTTTTTGTCTGCTTGCTTATTTGCCATTTTTCCTTCTTTTGTATTTTAGGGAACACCAACTTTCCTAACACAATTTTTTGTCCCCAGCTTTAGTTGTTTTTCTCTGGATGCTTTAATCTCTGTCCTTTAATATCTTTGTTCTGA